GAACATTAGTATGCTTGAAATATAGTTATTTCAATAGTATTAATTGTTAAAATGAATATTATAATTATGATAACATTTAATTATAATAATTAAATTAGGTACAAATTAAATTTAAATAATTTGTGACATTATATAAATAATTAATTTTTTTATCATTATACTGGATTTTAAGGACTTGTGCAATGAAGGATTAGGCTAAAATAATTATAATTTTTCGAAAAGGCGTTAATAATAAATTTATATATCAAGAGTCTGGCGGCGAAACGTCCGGCGGCGAATCGGTGGCGGCGAAGTGTCCGGCGGCGAATAGTCCGGCGACGAAACGGTCAGCGGCGAAATGTCCGGGTCCGTTATTTTTCTGTCTACAATCATTAATATGTTTATGTCAAATGGTTCACCTTCACAGTTCACACTAACATGGCTTAAACATTATATATATATATATATATTAATGTAATATTAGAACCGTTGAATATCATAGTATCATACGCCAGTTGTATAAATTATACATCATACTGCCCGCCATCAATGCCTTGAGCCCCTGGCCCTAACGAAAATAATGATTTCTACAGTGTTATTGCTAATTACTATAAACATTAGGTGCTAATAACTAAAAATTATGATAAGCATTATGCTACGAGCTGTTTTTACAAAATAGCAATAGCTACTATTTTTTATTGCTAAAATAGCAATAGCATTAGCAGATGTTAAAAAAAAAATAGAAAAAAATCTTATATACTCCTAGTGACCTTATCACGTCTAAACCAGTTCTTTCGGCGAATGACACTTGGAAATTTTAAAGTGAATTTTGTTTTGGCGAATCTTTTAATTAAATTAAATTTATTCAATCATTAATAATATTTTATTTTTCTTGTTATAGAAATAAATATCAAATAATATTTTAAACATTACATCTTCTTGAAATTATTTTATTTTAATAACAAATCCAACCTAACTTTAGATTTTTATTTTAAAATAAAAGTTTATTGTGAGCTTTTCTTATTGGGCAGCTAGTCTCGCTGCTAATGTCTTTGTTTTAACAAACATCATACCGACGGACAGTTTAAAGAAACTTACGAATATATTTTTAGTGTTTAATTTTTATTTTAGTGATTATTGTGCGGAATCTTTTCAAGGCGCTAGCGCTGGGACACATTGGGCGACCACAATACCGTCTTGATGGATTTTTTACATAAATATAAATATTTTTGAATCTTGTTTTGGCCAGCAGGAAGAATTAAGAAGTTATGGTGTCGATCTCTCAATAAAACATATTCTCCCATAAGAAAATACTTGTTCAACAATCATAAAAATATTAAATTATATATTCAGAAAAAGCATGGGTGCTTTTGTCGTGCTTTTCGTATATTCAGCGCCCGACGCTTTATTTCATAATAATACTAGTATTTTTCGTTCATTATTATTTCAAAAATTATTTTTAACTTTTAGCTCTATATGCTTTAGTTTTTTAAAGTATATTTATTTTTTACTTTTTAGTTTTTTATGACATCGCTGTCACAATCACGGAGTGTTTATTGTCAATTATGACTATCATTAAATATAATTTCTGTATTGGCAGTTAATGTATTTATAAACTCACAACTGTGTTTTACTACAATTTACTGCTATTGATAAATAAAGCCTATATACCTGCGAATATCGTTTTAAATAACCAATTAGCTGCATTTGTAAATCCTTATGTGTAATACATGTATATTAACATGTATATTGTACCGCATCCTATTATAATAAGATATAGAGTGTTTAGAATCATTTACAAGTAAGACTAGTTGTGGACTGTGAGGTGTCAGTACGTGTTAAGTGTTGATAATGGCAACATAGTTTCCGAAATACTTATCAGCGACTTTTCAGTAATTTTTTGTGGTTATTGAGTTTAATATTTTATTGTTTTTAAATTAATAATATTTTTAGTATAGTTTTAAATTTACTTAATTAATTAGCCACAAGTGATAAATTTTTATTATATCAAAAATTCCAGGCGCCACTTCCATTACGTGTTGATTCATTGAATCTATGTCGTTGTGAATAAGTGACTTTATATTAATTCAGGGAATGATTTTAGTTAACTGATAGAGATTAAATATTGAGCATTGAATCCAGAGTTTCATAGTTTAAGTTTTGGTTTTTTTCTACACCTTATCACAATAAGTTATGTATCAATTTACTACCCAGTAAAGAAGCAGTCTTATAAAACTAATAAAACCTTTTTTTTTTATCGCCTTTAAACTTTAAGCATCTGTAACTTGTTGGAAATAAACAATTTTACACAAAAAATGTATGAATAAATATGATGAAATACAAAAAATTAGGTTTCAATTTGAAAAGTATATACAAATTTAGTATACATATAAAAGATGGTGGCAAAATTTAATTTTTAATGTAAAGAAGCTTTACATTGTACAATTATTGTTAAAAAAAATAAAGTATTGATTAGCTCCAATATTTTCAATATAACTTTTGGATCATATTATCATTATTTATCATAGAAAATTTTCATATGACAAAAATTCTGATTCCGCCAATTTTATATAACATTTTTATTATAAAATTTTTTTATTTTTGATATAATATATCTAAAAAACATACAATTAATGATGTATTTGAATATTTTGATTTATAACACGGGATAAGATGTAATGTACAGTATTCGTAAATATGTTTATTATATTTTAATAGACATTTAAATTTTTTAAATTTATTTTACTCATAGAATAATGAGTGGAAACAAACGTAAAAACGTTTTGCAAAAAATAATTTGTTGTTAATTATTAATTAAATGTTCTACAAGGAATTTTCATCAGATTCAAAAGTATACTTTTATTATTCAATTGTTTGTGGTAATTTTAAATCTGAAATTAGATCTTTTCTATCACCAATAATATTAGATATTATTACTAATTATTTATAAGCTATAGGATATAAATATAATGAATAAATTGTTTTGAATATTTCAATTGTATCATCAGTTTAAACACCAAGAGTTACATGACTAATAATTTTATTGAAACAATTTATTTTGTTATAAATGTAAAAAAATAATAAGTGATTTTAACGAAAATTCAGTCTTTTTTTTCATTAATTTACTGTTAATGGTAATTATATAAGTTTCTGACCATATCAATCTAAACAAAAGCATTTTTGAAATCTTCATAAAATGTTGTATTTAATGATATCAATTTTAAAATTGCTTAAAAAAAAAACTAAAAAAAGGTTAAAAGTTCAACATTTGTAAATTATAAATTATTTAAGGTTTTAGAAATAAAATCTATAGTATTGTTCTTCAAGAACATTAAAAAAACACTTGATTGAACTCCAAACCAATAAGCAATGTATGATTTCATTATTAATGTCATTTTATCAATGATTCATAATAGTTGAAATTAACGATTCATGTTCCAATATAATAAAAAGGCATAAACAGGGTAAAATTAGATCAGCTTTTAATAAAATTATAAAAAATATCTATCAAATTCTGCTATATTTGGATATCGTTTAGTTTGACAAATTTTAACTTCTCGTATAATTTTATGCGTTTTAGTTTTTTTACTATGTAATTTATACATATATTTCATTGTAATTGAATACAACTAACATACATAGGAATTTCATTCGACAACTAATTAATATTCTTTTTCTTTAAATAAAAATACAATTTTCTATACAATACACAAATAAAAACTTTATAATAAAAAATATTTTTGTTGACAAAGATGCTGTTAGCTATGATAAAAAAATGTTTAATTATAAGTATTGAATAGTTATAAAAATTATACTAGGGTCCATTTCGAATATACATCCTTTCATTGACACGCCTATAGTGGACCTAATGATCGTTGTAAAATATGAAATGATAATCAAAAAAAAAATTAAGACAAATATAATAAAACTAGAACTATTATTTTTCTATAAATAGTAAATTCAACGGGCTAGTTATATATTTTGGAAACCACATTTTATTTCTCTCTTCTGGAAATTATTTTAATGTATCAAACATTTTTGGAAACACAACCTCGTCAATGGCTAATTAATATTACCATTATAGTTTTTTAGTTTACTTCATCTTCAATTTTTTTCATTTTTATCCTAGTTTCCTTTAGTTCTGTTGTCTAATATGTTTGCTATATTAAGAGATCAACCAGTAACATGGACCCTATTGATGTTATATACAGTTTCTTTTACATGGAACTTAAATGTTCTTTAACAATGCCAGTAATTATTTCTTGTGTCAGATCTATACTGAAGCTGCATTAACTGAATTTAAATAATGATATATCGCGGAATGATTTATTTGGTCAAGTTCGACCAATGTTTTTTTGTCGAATGTATTAGAAATAAATTTTCTAACACTTCCTACTACTTTATTAGTAATAGTTTTATCATTAATATCAAAAGGATTTTTTAATGTAAGACCATACAATAGTTATATTACAATATGTAAAAAGTACTTAATGCAAAATCGAATTAATTAAGTTATGATTTTTATTTATATTTCATATTTGTAATCAGTCGTCTTAATAGTTAAGTCGTATTTTAAAATATAAAATTTTGTCCTTGAATTTTCTTTAATGACGAAATTGTGTAAATTTAGATACATAAATAATTTTTGCAATACTAAAATGAAAACCAGGTGTTTCTCTCAAAACTCATTTGTATGTATTAAAATTGTATAAAATGGAAGATTTACATCATCAATTATTATTACTGTAGTATCGTTATACTATTAATAACAAATTTATTTTATAGATTAATTAGTCTTCAAATTATTACTTATTTATTATAAAAAAATGTTATTTCGATTCTTCATTTTAAATTTTTGTAATTTTTGGATTTTAAATCAATGTTTGATGGTTTTCTGTAGTTCAAGTTCAAAATTAGATTCAGATTCAATACAACTCTCCTTAGATGCTGAAACTATTATCAACATGNGTTCAGATTCAGATCCAAAAAAATTCTTCCTAGATACTGAAACTATTATCAACATGTTCAATACTATTCGTCAACAGGAAGTTGGATGGACAAACACGATATATGGGTTCAGGTTCGATGAAGAAACAGTTCGTTTTCGTTATACGAAAGACTTTATGTCGGAAATTAATAATGATAATTATCGTGAACAAATACCATTATTAATCAATGTAATAATTCATAGATACACTGAAAATTTGAAAGTATTTCGTTATTTATTGAACAGTTTTGTTCAGTTATGTTACAGATATGACGAAATTAAAAGTCAAACATTAATTTATTGCTCTAATAAGTTGCGGGAAACAGTAATGATATCAACTAAAATGTTACTAAAATTTTTATATGTCGCTCTTTTCATACATAATGCCAATTTGTTATTAGATGATCATTGTCTATTGAATCATAATAAATTTTATGAAATTATGGTGCTATTGTATCGGGCGTTATTAAAAAAACCTAGTATTATTAATGATATGTTTTTGGCTCATAGATTACTAAAGAGTACTAGAAATTATATTAAAGATACAATGGACAAAAAAATAGTCGAACTTGTCAATTCAAATATGTCCACGATATATATATATGATCATTCAGTTCAAAACCATATTCAGAGAATTCTAAACATGAAAAACGTAATATTTTCTAAAAGTATTGACGACCATACAAGAGCTTTAAATTGGTTTTATATGCTAGCAGTTAGAGATAGTTATTATAATTTGGGATTTGATAAAGTGCTCGTTGGTGATATAAAGGAGTAAGTTTTTATACTAAAAATCATAACTGTACCTCAGAACTAGACTAACATAAGTTAATTTAGCTTTTTTTTATTTATCACAGGAAATATTTTATTTACAATAAAAAAAAAAAATGTAAAGTTCTTTTATTATAAATATGATATTTTCTAAAAAAAAGTTATTGACCTAGTTAACCTAGTACCCAATATTAATAGATTATTTTCATATCTCCATCAATTAGTTGTTAAAGGAAAATTTTATTTTATTCGTTAAATATTTCTATACATGTAATAAAGAACTGATCATTAATATTTATTATTTAAAAGTAAAAATATTTTTAAAATATGAATTTAAACCTAAAAAATATTTACTATTTAATATTTATTTCGCCTTTTCTCTGGATGCAATCAAGACCTAATCCTGAAGGAGGTGATCAGCACCACTGCGTCGTAGAAGCACTTTGCAAACTTCCATCCCACAAATATCCACGGATAATTCGTGTAATTCTGATAAGAGCAATCAAGGTCCTAAATCTTCAGCTAGTCCTTTTCACAAAAAATCCTACATTCACTAAATCCGACGTTAAATAAATTTCTAATGACCCCAATCTTAAACTAGCAACATGGATTGCAACTCACCCGAAGTCATCGTTGTAAAGTCACTCGGTCCGCCAACTTCAAACATAAACTCGCTTTAAGTCCTTATCCTTATACGTCAGCAGTCAGGAAACTCAATGTTTTCGAATGCTTTCCACTACACTACACTGGTCCCCTTATTGTACTTGTTTCTGCTTCTGGCGATAATAACTTACGCAATTTTCATCCAGTCAAGTTCGGGAAAACTTTGTCCAAAATGTTTTCCGGCATTCTTAGAATCAACTTTATTGGTGCTAACCGTGTTTAAACCACGTTTGATTAGGTTAATAGCGCCAACACTTGCCTCACTTACCGAACACGACTACTTTGCGAATTTTCCTAGCAATATACAGTATTGGAGTCATACGCCTAGACAAAAGTATCTCTGAAGAAAACTTTTGTGAAGGTCATGAATTTTGAGAGGTATTTGCACAATATTCACAGATTAAGCTACACGACGTAACGCATATAGTATTACTTGTTTAACCAGCGTAGGCTACTCATATAGTTAGATTATAACGACATTTGGCATATTTTCACAAGGTAGTGCATCACATTCTGTTTTGACATTTTATGATTACAGTCCATTCAAGCATTTTAACACACATATATATAATGATCAATAATAAATATTTTTCAATATAGGCATATACACGAATATATTGCGGAAAATACACGTTATCATGAAAATCAAGAAGATGATAATTTTGATTGTACAGAAGAACCACCAGTTCTTACACATAGGCTTGAATAATAAACACTATTGTTTTTTATATTAAAAATAAGAAAAATTGTTTTAATTAAGTTAGTTATTATTTTATTCTATGTAGCTTTTAATTAAAAAATGCTTAGTATACAAATAAATTTATCTTAATTGATCCAATGATGAAACTGCAAATAATTTTTATGACAGGATTTGAAAAAACAATTTTTTTAGTTACAAACAGTTTTTAATTGATTTTTATGTTCATTTTGTTTCAATAAAAATAAATGTCTGTTTTTGAAATGTTTAAAAAAAATATATAATATTTTATTTTAATTAATTTAATTTATGTTGAATGGAAATATATAATAAAGAATTTAAATACAATTGATACTATGATTATATATATATTATAAGAATTAGTCAATCCGTTTAAGATAACAAATTAATTTAATTTAACAAATTTACTATAATTAATGCACTAAAATGAAGAATTTTTTTAACGATATGTTTTGCATTAATTTTAATATTTTCAATTTTCAGTGGGTAATTAAAAAAATTTTAATTGTTTTTTATTTAAAAATTATGTTTCATCAAAAACCCTTTGAATACTCAAAAATATATATTTTGAATTATAAGTCATTTCAAGTGCTGTTTTAAAAAAGATTAATACAATAGTTGAAAAATAAAAAGTTTAAGACTTTGTTACACGTAGTACATAATCATTTCAAATTATTGAAAAATTATTGATTAACATTATTTGTTCTGTATTTAGTTGTGAGGATGAATATAGCCAGGCAAGTATTTGTCAACTTGGGAAAATCCGTTGAACTTCCTGCATCCCCCCCAAAAAAAAAATACTTCCGATCAATATTTTAAAAATTATTAATAATTAAAAGTAATAACTGATGGTTAGACGTGGGTGCTGCTATTTTTTAACACTTTTCTCTGCTCCTTCCGTACTTATCCTGCCTCCTAAATATAAAAATGTTAATAACTTCTGAAGTACTGGATCACAGTTGTTATTGACCAATCATTTTCTTAATTAGAACATTATCTAATAAATAAGTTAGTAAATCGTGTACGTATGAAATTTAAAAGTTAACATTTATAAGTAGGTTTTGGGACTAGTGCACTAAAAACCCTAAGATTATGTAATTAAATATAAATTTAAAAAAGTTTGTATGTACAATTAAATACGAACTATTTATATTGTTCAGAAAGTAAGAAAACGGCATTCAATTATTCTCACTTTATTTATAATTTTTCAGTTAAATTTATGTCTATTTTGCGATTTTTAAATATTTTTGAGAGAGCTAAGTCCTCCTTTGCCTATGAACCCACTCTTTATTAGGTAGAAATGATTGTGGCCTGTTTTATGATGTTTTATGGCTAGCTAAAATTTTAACACCAACAAAAAGAGAAAGAGTAAATACACTCTTCTGAGAGAGCTATGTACTCACATTCTATTTTCGATTAAAAAATCTACGAAAAACTTCTCTACATCATTCTTTATCTATCACTCTCCTCCGCCAAAATAGAATGTACCTAGGGAGAGATGAAGTTCCTATGAAAATTAATAATTAATTATTATTTTAATTTAAGATATATATAAAAATGTCAGTATTTCCGGAATACTTTTAAAAGGCAAGTTAAAAAAGCTAATTTTGTTTTATTTGCTAATTGTAGCAGCTTTAAGTAAAAAAACCCCAGCACAGTGAAGTCTCGGCACAGTGTGGACGTGGCATAGTTGGGTCTAGTATAGATGATATCTGACAGTGATTAAAATCTGACCTTTAAAAAGGGCTTCACAAAAAACTTTTTAGATAATCATTTGTTTTTAATTGTGAATAAGTGGTCTGCAAACAATTTTCATTAGAGTAAAAAATATATTTTTATTATTAAATTTTTTGTGCTAATTTCAATTATATGTATTCCATCATAAATAATTTTTGATATTATTACTTATTAGTTAAAAAACTATAGAATATAACTATAATGAAAATATTTCTAAATATTTCAACTGTACTATCTATGTAAACACCAAGAATTACATAGAAATTAAAAACATTTCATTTAAAATGAGTTATTACGATAAAAAATAATTATAAACACACAAAAATTGTTATTAAATTATTACAGATTTTGANTAATTATAAACACACAAAAATTGTTATTAAATTATTACCGATTTTGACTTTTAATATTTTAAAAATAATAAGTGTAAAATATCATTTTTAACCATTATTTTGGGTCATATAAAGTTGATATTTGAAAGTTTATAGTAAAAAAAAGTTGACCTTGTCACCATACTTTTAGCTGAACTTCAAGTGTGAAGTTTACATTATTAAATAGAAAATTTTATGAGAGTAAAAAAATAGAATTTTTAATATTAATATGGAGTCAGGAAATTGTATAATTACTATTACTGTAAATTTATTAGAAAAGCTCAATATCTTTTTTGCATTTTTATTGTAATAGATCACTCTAATAGAAATCATAATAATCAATTCTAAGTAATTTTTGGTGTTTAAATAGATTCAACAATTATAATATTTAAAAATTAATTCAAAACAAAATGTNAATTTTTTTTTTTTAAGAAATCAAATATTATTACACCAAACCAATCTTAATTATTATATTGTCATAAAAAAAAGTAGAGAGGATTAATACGGTTGTTTTTGTCATAAAAAAAAGAGAGTTATTATAGATATATATATTTATATTGATTATGTATGTATGTGATATTTATCTTTTGTCGCAAAAAGGGAATTATATAAGTAGGTTAATGATTTAAATATTGGGATGGTGAAATCCAATAAATAGTTTTTTTATATGAGAAGATATTAGGTATTAAGATACAGGTGTTAAATATAAATTAAATATTTATGTTTAACGCAAGCTGTTGCGTCCTGAGTGGTGACTAAATAACTATTAATAATATTTTCCCTTTCTATCTGTTATTTGCTTGACAAAAGTTATTCTTGATTTATCTTAAGTCTATCCTTAATTTTATGACATGCTTAGAAATATAATTTCTTACCTTGTGTCCAGCTAGCTTGATCGTTTGTTGTAAAAATGATATAAATAAAAAGAGCACTGACTTTTATCTATTTATTTATTTTGTAAAATTATGTAAATTACTAAACTTGAAATATTACTTCACTGTGGTTCCTTTCTATGCTTGGTGTCTGAGTATATGTGTTACTTTATATTTTAAAATGAATATTTAAATAACCAGATAGGTTATGAGAGCCAATCCCTAGTGACACGTTATAAACTATTTTTTTACGAATAGTTTTAACCGCTAGATGTGCTAGGGTAATGACTTCAACAAACTATCAATATTTTATGAAATTGTGTGTTTGATATGAGAGTCGACAGAGTTAGAGACAGGCTGGCTACACCATCGGAGATTACTCTCGTCGATGCACGGACCTTACAGAGTCAAAAACTGCTTGCCGAAAAGAACGTAATGGAATATGAGAATCAATCCCTAGTGACACGTCACAAACTATTGTTTTACCAATAATTTCAACTGCTAGATGTGCTAGGGTAATGATTTCAATAAACCATCAGTATCTTGTGCAATCAATCAAACACGTATCTATTTAAATTTAAGATACATTCTACGATCTCCTTAGTGACACGTCACAAACTATTGTATTACAACAGTTTCAACCGCTAGATGTGCTAAGGTAGATTTTCGAAATGCACTTATTAAATAGACACTCCAATTGAAGAATTTAAAAAAATTCTTAATTGGAACAACTCACAAAATACAAAATAAAAAATTTTAAACGTCTTAATATTTTATGAATATTTAAGACTAAAAATAAAAAGATAAAAAGGTTAAGTTATTTATTTAAATTACATTACTTACGAGAGATTTAGATGATAAACACCTAGTATGAAAAAAGATTCTAAGTCATAGAGAGAATATCGCGAAACAGTCTGGTACAGAAACGCTTCATGACCAGATTTTTATAAAAAAATNAGTCTGGTACAGAAACGCTTCATGACCAGATTTTTATAAAAAAATAAGGTGTCAAATGAGCTAAAAATCGCTTATTTATAGGCCCGTTTTATGAGGGGGAGATTTAATGTTTTATATTTTAATTGCCAAATCCTTCTCATTGGCTAGTCAAGGAAACTTGAATAGACCTGTGCGCAATCTATTATTCTACTAATTTGAGTTAATGTTTCATATTTGTATTGGTGTTTATATCTATCATCTTCCATAATAATGCGGTTTATTAGAAAAATTATCAATATAAAAA